CCCATATATAGCAAATATTAAGCACCCAAAAAGAAAGATAGAAAAGTTTGGAAGCCTGAAAAAAACACATATGAAGTAGGATATCATTTGTAACATCCTGGAAACACCGTGTCTATCCGGGGGGTGACTATAGGGAAACTAACACTGGGACAGACCCAGAACTTGAGTTTTTGGATGGTTTTTCCAGGGACTTTTTGGAGATTCTGGATAGCTCAAAAACAACCACCTCAAGAAATGGGTAGATCACCACTACAATAAACTATTCTATCATATTCTATCCATTTGTTCGTTCCTGAGAGGTGAAGCCAGGGTATCAGTGCTTTCACTTTCAACGAGTTCTGGAGGTGACGCAAGTACTGAGTAGTGGTTCAAGCACATGACCAAAATCTTCTTCGTGTTCTCGATATGGCTTTCACATTCAATCACATTCACATCGCAAATAGTGACCAGCGCACAAGCAATGCACTTTGGGTATACCACGATTTTTCGCAGATCTTTGAGGTGGTGATGTTCCTATGAAAACTGATGAATGTGGTAAGCCTAATGATGAACCACATCCCAGTCATAGGATTATCCCGTTATACACGCTTCAATTGGACGGGCCTATTTCCAAGACATGGGATTCTTCGGACAATCCAAAGGGTGCCAGTCATATCGCAATAATATTTACTATAGTATTCCAGATTATTCCAGTAGTTATGTTTTGTTATATCATAACCCACAGGATCCATGTATTTATCATCAATATACCCCATTTATGTTAGCATATATACCATATATGGATCCTATGGGAAATCGGCGGTCCAATGCCAGTCATCGCAGGCGCTCCGACTGGATGAACTCTGCAAGGGCTACAAAAAGGAGGTGCGACGAGTCCGATGTCATGATTTTCATGGGTTCTCTGCATCAGTTAATGTAGTGTTAACATGTAACATCCATTAACTATATAGTGCTACATAGATCATTTAAAAACCATGATACTGCAGTATGGTTATACTGGGATCGGGTAATATGATTCTTACATATATTCTTATACTATCACAACTAATTGGGATTTAAACATGATTCAAAAAGGGGGTATTCATGGGTATTCTGTCATTTTCCATGAACTGGGAATCTAGTACCCAATCAATGTTTCAATTCCATGATGATTTGGGTGTTTTGAAAACTGTTGGGTTTACCCTTTCAAAGCTTTGCAGCTGGAACCATACTCCGGAACAGAGTTCGGGTTTACTGCTGGATTTCCCACGTGAAAAAATCATAGGTAAGAAGAATGTTATCATAGGCGGCTCTCACCAGGTTGATAAGTGGAAGGCCAAAGCTGAAGCACTTGATGAGGCGGGGATCAGCAAAACACCAGTTGAGGGTCGTCCTAAGCCCTCTGATTGCACATGTGTATGTGTATATCTATACATACATAAAGATATAGAAAGCGATATATATATATAATATATATACACATATTTATTATTATTCTCATAGATATAGATAGATAGATAGATAGATTGATTGATTGATTGATTGATTGATTAAATTGATTAGATAAATAGATAGACATAGAATGGTTTGTCTATTACTAAAGCATGGTTGATGAATCCTTTCTTGCTAGTTGTAGACCCTCCCTGACCGGGGCCACCAGACGAACTGAATCAATGGATTGTCCCAGAGGGACCAAATTTCAGCGAAATTTCAGCGAAATTTCACCTCTTCAAAGATGACGCGTATGTTCCCTTGCTACCTCAATGATTTTCAGAGGGTGACTCCGTATTTTCGTGAAGCTCTATAAGTGCATGTAAATCCCTAAATAATCCTATATAATCCTATATAATCCTATATAATCCTATATAATCCCTTAATATTTCTTGGTGACATCCCTCCAAATCCCAATTTTTTTCAATGTAGAACTCACCTGAAGGATCGCAGATTTCTGGAGGATCAGATCAAAGGCGAGTCGCGCCTGCGGCGTCGCCTTTGCTTTGCGTTTTCCTGGTGATGATTCGGATGGTGAGAATGTCATTATAATAATAGGATGTATATACCTATAAAAGAATAGCTATAGAATGATATTATTTTCTCTTTGGTATGGTATAATACATATAGGTATATGGATCAATAGCTATACTGTAAATAGATTTTGTCATATTTTTTGGGCATCCAGCTATGATAGCTATGGCATGCTGCATCCTCCCGGCTATGGCTTGATGTTCACCTGACCCATCCCGACATATCCCAAAGGACCTGTATGTTCCTTCCTAACATGTATGATCAATGGTGAATACACTATGAATGCCTATGATTAATGGATATTAATGGTCTATTCCACTATTCCTATCATTTAGTGAATTGATGTGAATTGTATATTCCCAATGATTAATGGTATATTCTTATCGTTCGTGCTATATTTCAAGTCGTAGGTTGTTCCCTTCGTTCCCAGACTTCGCTGGGATGCTGCCTCCAGGTGCCAAGCGGCAGAATAAGGTGCGGCCCACCGGGCCCACCCCACGCTTCGACTGCTTCGATATGACGGTAGATCAGGTGGTAGGAGATGCATGGAGATGCCATTAAGGGATACAACTAATAAAAAAACAGCACTTATGATAAAATGGACATCTAAATCAGTTCCAAAGTCTTCTTCAAATCCACACTTTTGAGCTGCACTTATAGGTCCTGTGCTCACTGGCTCGGCGGCGACACCGCGCATGATAGCATGGCACTGCAGTATGGCCTGCGTGACACAGGTTGGTCCTTTCAAAGATGGTTGATGTCCATGCCCACAAATAAGATGACTGGCTGTTGGTTTGGAACATGAATTTTGTTTTTCCAGATATTGGGAATGTCATCATCCCAACTGACTTTCATATTTTTCAGATGGGTTGAAACCACCAACCAGACGATGATTTGATGATCCCGACTTTCATAGTATAGGGTAGCGGCTCACTCACCGACCACCAGAACAACACAGCGGCAGCAATTCATTTCCAGCCATGAAAAGTTCAGAGAAGGCAAGCTCCTCACTCTCCGAGGCGGGAAAACTGGAGAAAGGGGGCCATGGCGGCCATGGGTTGCATGAGAACTGGCGAATCCTGTAGATGTCTCTGGCGCGAAATGGCATGATGTTTATGGAAAATGGCTTCACCCACATGGACCACCAACAAGCCACCAGGATTAACGAACTCGAGATGAGCCATAAGCCCATAGCTTTCAGCGATCAAAATCAGAAAGCTCCAACCCTCAGCGAAGGAAAAGTCCAAGGAGGCAAAGAAGCAGGAGGTCGACGCGGGAGAAGGGTCTGAAGTTAGCCAACTGCGGTTTGTTTGATTATCAACGGATTTATACTGTTCAATATATGAGGGCTTTGCTCCAGATTTTCCCCATCATCCGATTCCAAGAGACTAGTTGCCTGTGCTGATTCTTGAGATAGAACAATCCTTGACCGTGTGACTCACCTTGATTCCAATTGCATCCAATTGTGTGAAATGGATTCATGTTTATTGGTTGATAGACCCTTCTTGTATTGTTTGTCTTGATTATGTCTTGATTCAAAATGATCACTTTTCTTGGCAAATGCCTCCCGGTGCTCATTGCTTAACAACCGCATTCTTGATGGTTCGCTCAACGCTTACATCGTTCGCTCAACTCAGCGCTTTTTTCGGGCCTAGGCTTGGTGGTTTAACGTGGGAATGGTTTTGAACCACGTCAAAATGTCAGATCTGGGTGGTCCACTGTTTGTGTCGTTCTAGACTGACCACATAATTTTCGCGATATCCAATTTTGACCAAACGCAATGTCCATCGGGTTGCAGACCTATTTCCACAGATGAACAGTATCCCATGTCCTGCTGGTAAAGTCACCCCTTGTTACTTCCCATCCCAAATTCACCTCAGCAATTTTGCCACCTGTGCACCGGAAACGTCCATAGTCTGGTTGTTGGCAGCTAGGGGTAACACATGATCCTGTGTGTCACTCAAACACATATCTAACCCAAGAATTTCAAATACTGTAGTTCTGTATAGCATAGTATACTCTAGTCTAGCAACGTTTAGTATAGTATAGTAAACGTTTAGTATAGTATAGTATAATCAGTACAATATACATTAATATACGTTAATGTACCATAGTATAGCTTGTTTTGTTTCAGTATCGTTTTTGTCATCGATGCTTTTTCCCATCAGATGGTCCGTTTGCTGCACGGCAAGGCTCCGGCAAAGCAAAGCTCACAGGAAAAAGTTGCCATGGCAATGGGGATTTCCCATTGCATGGGGAGATGATTGGAGGGTTTGATCATATTCATATTTAACATTTAATATCTGAGCAAGAGTCAGACTTGGAGGTTTTCCATGCTGTCCTACACAAACACACCCTTTGCTGGTGATATCAGTGATATCTCTCCGTGGTTTTACAACGTCACAACTCTTCCAAGGGATGAGAACAAGTTTCACTTTCTTTTCTGTTTGGTTTGGAACATGGCTGGATTATGACTTTCCATATATTGGGAATGTCATCATCCCAACTGACTAATTTTTTTCAGAGGGGTTGAAACCACCAACCAGTTTTGCGTTTCCAATCATAGAAGCGGGATGATCTCCAATGAATGTCCGCTTCAGGGGCCCAACCACCATGCCCCCAGGATGAAGATGGGGAGGATCCTGAAGTTCTCGCAACTGCAAAGGAAGACGCAGAGCCTTGGAAGTCGGGGCTTTCTGGGGGATGGGGAGGGGTTTACCTTTGAACTGAAGGGATGTACCACCCGGTGATGAAACATGGCGGAAATCCCCAAGATGCGCAGAATTTCATGGGAAAATCATCTGTCACAAATGGGGTCTGAGAACGTAGGGGGCAATCCACAAGATTTCATGGTGATAATTTTCCGATTGGAATACGGCCATATAGTAGGTAGTCCATGGTATTCCCTAGTTCAGACACACCCTTTCATGGTGATGTGGCTGTGTAAAAAGAGCTGGTGAGTTGGTGAAAAAAGATGTGGCCATCAACTGCAGCCGTTTTAACCTCAGCCTCTGCATATCTGCAACGTGCAGCTGGATGTGGGCAGTGGATCTCGTCAAGGCCTATGTGCATGCCTTGTGGGCTAGGCCCTTCACCGTGTTGGGATGCTTGGCACCGGACCGCCGGATCTCAGCTGATGCCACCTTCCCTGGTGCCTGTGAATAGGCGATGGATAGGTATGGCCAACATATTTGGGACCGAAATTCTTTGAATCTGTTGAGATTCTGGTAGGTTTGAGGCTCCCGACTTTGAACCCAGACCCAAATGAATCCACATGTTTATTAATATATGGGAGCCGTCCAAAAACCCCAGAAAGGTTTTTAGTAAAGGACCTATTCTCGCATTTTTCCCATGGTCTAAAACCTGCATCGCGCAAGTTTCGCGCAAGGGCGGCCCAAGGTACGCGCAAGTACTATTGTTATCATTATTACAAGTACTATTTTTAATTAACATTTTGATTACTACTACTACGACGACGACGACTACTACTACTACTACTACTACCACTACCACTACCACTACCACTACCACTACTACTACTACTACTACTACTACTACTACTACTACATTACTACTACTACAACTACAACTACTACCACTACAACTACAACTACTACTACTACTACTACTACCACTACCACTACCACTACCACTACCACTACCACTACCACTACCACTACTACTACTACTACTACTACTCCTGCTATTACTACTACTACTACTACTACAACAACAACAACTACATTACCACTACTATTACTACTACTACGACTACAACTACAACAACAACAACTACTACTACTACTGCTACTACTACTACTACTACCGTATCTGATTTAGATCTTAAATATTAATATCTCGAGTTGATAAACATAGATAACCAGGGTGGTAAATAGGCCATCCAAAGAAAAAGGAGCAGATAGATAGATAGATAGATAGAGATAAAGCAGCCAACGCGGTCCGGAAGACATGCAGCAGCAGCCCGGAGATGGTGAGCAGGAAGGTGTTTCAGAGTGGTTTCAGACCTCTTTTGGGCTTGTTTTTTGGGTACCCCCAGCTTTGGGAGATGAAAAAAGAAAGAGAAAAGGTAGAGAAAGAGAGAGAGAGAGAGAGACAGAGAGAGGAAGAGGGAAAGAGAGAGAGAGAGAGAGAGATAGAGAGAGAGAGAGAGAGAAGATGGAAGATGGAGACAAACAGAAGGCGAGAGAGAGAGAGAGAGACAGAGAGAGGAAGAGGGAGAGGAGAGAGAGAGCGTTGTAAATGGTGAGCAGCGGGGTGTTTCAGAGTGGTTTCAGACCTCTTTTTGTCCGTAGGCTACCTCAGCTTTGGAGAAAAAACAGGAAAGAACGGGAAAAGAAAGAAGAGAAGGGAGAAAGAGACAGAGAGAAAGAAGAAGTCTTGAGACGGTGAGCAGGAAGATGTGTCGAACTGGTTTCAGACCTCTTTTGGGGCCGGTTATGGGGCTACCTAGTTCTTAAGACATCCAAAAGAAGGGACTCAAAACAGATTGTACTTGAAACACATGCGGTCCGGAAAGAGGTGCAACGGTCCGGAAAAGCAAGCACCCAAAACGTAATCTAATCGTAGCGATTGCGGTCCGGAAAGGCATGCGGTCCGGAACAGCAAGCACCCAAAACGTACTCTAATGTAGATATTGCGGTCCGGAAAGACCTGCAGCGGTCCTAATGTCTACAATTAGAATACTTTTTGGGTGCTTGCTTTTCAGGACCGCTGCAGGTCTTTCCGGACCACAATGGCTACAATTAGAGTACGTTTTGGGTGCTTGCTTTTCCGGACCGCTGCATGTCTTTCCGGACCACAATGGCTACAATTAGAGTACGTTTTGGGTGCTTGCTTTGTCTCTGTCTCTTTCTCCCTTCTCTTCTTTCTTTTCCCGTTCTTTCCTGTTTTTTCTCCAAAGCTGAGTTAGCCTAAGGACAAAAAGAGGTCTGAAATGGTCTGAAACCACTCTGAAACACCCGCTGCTCACCATTTACAACGCTCTCTCTCTTTCCTCTCCCTCTTCCTCTCTCTGTCTCTCTCTCTCTCTCTGTCTCTCGTGCTATCCTCTTTTCCCGACCGCTGCATGTCTTTCCGGACCGTAATGTCTACAATTAGAATACGTTTTGGGTGCTTGCTTTTCCGGACCGCTGCATGTCTTTCCGGACCGTAGTGTCTACAATAAGAGTACGTTTTGGGTGCTTGCTTTTCCGGACCGCTGCAGGTCTTTCCGGACCACAATGTCTACAATTAGAGTACGTTTTGGGTGCTTGCTTTTCCGGACCGCTGCAGGTCTTTCCGGACCACAATGTCTACAATTAGAGTACGTTTTGGGTGCTTGCTTTTCCGGACCGCTGCACGTCTTTCCGGACCGCAATATCTACAATTAGAGTACTTTTTGGGTGCTTGCCTTTCGGGACCGCTGCAGGTCTTTCCGGACCACAATGACTACAATTAGAGTACGTTTTGGGTGCTTGCTTTTCCGGACCGCTGCAGGTCTTTCCGGACCGCGACATCTACAATTAGAGTACGTTTTGGGTGCTTGCTTTTCCGGACAGCTGCATGTCTTTCCGGACCGCATGTGTTTCAAGTACAATCTGTTTTGAGCCCCTTCTTTTGGATGTCTTAAGAACTAGGTAGCCCCATAACCGGCCCCAAAAGAGGTCTGAAACCAGTTCGACACATCTTCCTGCTCACCGTCTCAAGACTTCTTCTTTCTCTCTGTCTCTTTCTCCCTTCTCTTCTTTCTTTTCCCGTTTTTTCCTGTTTTTTCTCCAAAGCTGAGGTAGCCTACGGACAAAAAGAGGTCTGAAACCACTCTGAAACACCCCGCTGCTCACCATTTACAACGCTCTCTCTCTCTCCTCTCCCTCTTCCTCTCTCTGTCTCTCTCTCTCTCGCCTTCTGTTTGTCTCCATCTTCCATCTTCCTCTCTCCCTCTCTCTCTCTCTCTATCTCTCTCTCTCTCTCTCTCCTCTCTCTGTCTCTCTCTCTCTCTTCTCTCTACCTTTTCTCTTTCTTTTTTCATCTCCCAAAGCTGGGGGTACCCAAAAAACAAGCCCAAAAGAGGTCTGAAACCACTCTGAAACACCTTCCTGCTCACCATCTCCGGGCTGCTGCTGCATGTCTTCCGGACCGCGTTGGCTGCTTTATCTCTATCTATCTATCTATCTATCTATTTATCTATCTATCTATCTGCTCTTTAAATGTATTTCCTTGTATGTTGTGTTCAAGTCTTTTCTGTCTGTAAATTGTTCTTTTCATCAAGGTCAGCTAGACCCCCTGAAGGGGTCTGAAACCACTCTGAAACCGCTCTGAAACCACAGAAGTTCAACACGTGCAGAGCTACTTCCCAGTACTACTTCCCAGTACTACTGTGTACTACAAAGCTTGCACAAACCACTTCCCAGTACTACTGTGTACTACAAAGCTTGCACAAAGCACTTCCCAGTACTACTGTGTACTACAAAGCTTGCACAAAGCACTTCCCAGTACTACTGTGTACTACAAAGCTTGCACAAACTTCCCAGTACCACTTTGTACTACAAAGCTTGCACAAAGTAGTACTACTTTGTACTACAAAGCTTGCACAAACTACTTCCCCCACTACTGTACTACTACTACAAAGCTTGCTACAAAGCTTGCACAAACACTTCCCAGTACTACTGTGTACTACAAAGCTTGCACAAAGCACTTCCCAGTACTACTTTGCACTACAAAGCTTGCACAAGTCTGCACTTGCACAAACTAGTACTACTTTGTACTACAAAGCTTGCACAAACTACTTCCCAGTACTACTTTGTACTACAAAGCTTGCACAAACTACTTCCCAGTACGAAATACTAAGTGAATACTAAATATTTAACATTCGAAAACAAGTACGAGAATAATGATGAAAAACAACTGAAATGATGAAAGTGATCCGGGAGTGTGGTCGCGCAAGAAACGCGCAAGGTTGGCGCAAGCTCGGCCCAAGAGGCCTTTGTGGGAACAGTAATTTAGGACAACCCCCATATATATATACATTACAATAAACATACACTTACACACACATACATATACATACATACATGCATGAATGCATGCATGCATCTATCCATACATCCATACAGACACACAGACCTACAGACCTACAGAAATGCAAACATGCAGACATGCATACATCCAGACATGCATACATCCAGACATACAGACATACAGACAGACATACAGACATACAGACATACATACATTGATACATTCATACATTCATACATTCATACTGCTAAAGACCTTGATATGCCCACCCACACAGGCGAGTCCAACTAGATTCAAAGCGGTCTCTATCAATGTGACGCATAAAGGGATAGACTTAGATAGGATTGGAACTAATTGGATAGATTGGATAGATAGAGAATCAGAATTGGATACATAAATGATACATACGTAACTTTCTTTTCTTTCTCCACCAAGCCTCTCGAAGGGTGAAACACCAGTGCAGCTCAGGAGTGAACATCGTAGTCGTCTTGATCGTGCCCGGGATCGCCAGACTAGCTGGAAACAACGACCCAGTTCCTTGCCGCATGAAGTTCCGGCCTGGGCCTGGCCCTTTTTTGGATTAAAAAAAGCCAGACTCAAATGAAGTTTGGGATCCACAATCATTTGTCTATATAAAATTATATATATATATATACATATATTCTCATTTATTAATGTAAACTATATATATATATGTATGGTATTCAGATGGATTGTTCAAACGGCCATGCCGTGCGCTGTTGACAGACAAACAGATAATGTATTGCACACTCCCGACACCCTCAGGCAATTCTAACCTGTTGAAAACCCATGAAACTCGCTCGTTTTGTTTCCTATCCAAACACTACCAACTAGTGTTTGATCTGTATGTTTTTTTTGCCATGTTCGGTTGCTCTATCTGGTACTGGGATGGTAAATATGTTGGAAAAGATTGGCACCAGGCATGTGACCCCCGAAATTGGTCACCCGATAAATTGGATGATTGATGATTATTGATGATGATTGATTGATGATGATTGATGATGATTGATGATGATTGATTGATGATTGATGATGATTGATGATGATTGATGATGATTGATGATGATTGATGATGATTGATGATGTTTGATGATGATTGATGATGATTGATGATGATTGATGATGATTGATGATGATTGATGATGATTGATGATGATTGATGGTGATTGATGATGATTGATGATGATTGATGATGATTGATTGATGATTGATGATTATTGATGATTATTGATGATGTTTGATGATGACTGATGATGATTGATGATGATTGATGATGATTGATGATGATTGATGATGATTGATGATGATTGATGATGATTGATGATGATTGATGATGATTGATGATGATTGATGGTGATTGATGATGATTGATGATGATTGATGATGATTGATTGATGATTGATGATGATTGATGATGATTGATGATGATTGATGATGATTGATGATGATTGATGATGATTGATGATTATTGATGATGATTGATTGATGATGATTGATGATGATTGATGATGATTGATTGATGATTGATGATGATTGATGATGATTGATGATGATTGATGATGATTGATGATGATTGATGATGTTTGATGATGAGTGATGATGATTGATGATGATTGATGATGATTGATGATGATTGATGATGATTGATGATGATTGATGGTGATTGATGATGATTGATGATGATTGATGATGATTGATTGATGATTGATGATGATTGATAGCAATGACGGCAAAGCAACTTGCCAGAAAGTGGTCCCCTGATGTCCCCTACATCCAAAAGTGTGATGAACAGCCTAGCACCGCAAGGTCTTATCCATGGGGTTGAGACCCTCCTAAAACTTGGTAGTTTGTGTATCCTTTGGGAATGGAACAGCCATCAAAATCCATGATTTGCAGATGGTTTACCAGTTTACCTAGCAAGAAAGGATGACTTTCCAGCCATCCAGGTTTGATACCCTACATATTCGGCCGAATGACTGTCCCCTACATTGTCGTCCTGGAGAAGATAGAATATGGACCTAAAAAAAAAAACTCACAAAAGTAGGATTATAATTGAATTTTTGACATTCTATCTACTTCAAGATGATAATACATGTTTTGATACATGCAATTTGATTCTCATTGGGGTAAGCGCGGAAAAAATCGCTGTCAAGGATGAGAACGCCATCTCTCACGTCTTCGGGCAGGTGCCGGTGGCTGCGTTCAACCCCCGGTTGATGATATGATGATATGGAGGTTTCCTAAAATATAGTAACCCAAGCTCGCGGATGGTTTATTTCATGGAAAAACCGAACATGAAATGGATGATTTGGGGGTAGCCCTATTTTAGGAAACCACCATATGGGATTTGCTGTTGGTAAGTATCCAAGGTATATATATATATATAATGTATGTGGTAAGAACAGGGGGTACCGAAACTATTCCAATATGTCAGTTGTCAACAGATGATTACCCCGTGTTGGGTTATAATATCCAATATAATATATATTGGGGATTATTGGGGAATATGACAACCAATGATAGGGATAAAAACTGTATAAACGGATCAGTATAGTGGGATCGCATAGGGGTATTTTCCACGGCGCATGTGAGCTTTGTATAGCTATGATGACATAGTGAAATTCTCAGTCTCCCTTTCCAAGGTACACGCACAACGAAACTAACCTAAAACCTGCAGATGGTCTCTTCACATATAACGACCCCAACCGCACATCACTGGCGACATGAGTCAGAAGATTTCCCACCAGGACCAATGTCCAGTTCACAACCAATGAAGGAAATATTAACATTAAATATATGGGGATGATATCATATTATCATATATATATAATATAATTAAACCCAATGATGTCCCAATAGTTATCTAAAATGGTGTTTTCCTATTAATTCAGAACCAACGGACGGGAATGGATTCTAATTACCATATCAGTTGAAGCTAGGCACATCCAATATCATCCAATGATCCACAAAGATTGTATGATTTTGTGATAGATTCTATTTCAGAGCATGCATGAGTATGAGGGTTGATTCCCATTGAATGAGGATTGAATTCCACATCCATAGGTCTGCAGTGGGAATTTAACCCATGACCCCGATGCCCATTGCCATTACTTGAATCCAATTTTCCCAAATCAAGCCGGAATTGCAATCAATTCCGTAGTGGCTTAGTCCGAAAATGGGGTACATCCCCCAAAATGGCCAATGAAATAGGCAGCATGGTGATTAAGCACTATTAAGCGTTTAGATGATGAACATTGATCAACCGATTAACAAAGAGTTCTTCGTGGGTATAGCCTATTTTAAATATATTTTTATGTTTTGTTTAAGAAACCCTGATGATTGAATCTGATTCACTAAAGCGAACACATTCCCATCACCATGGCGAAGCTATCGACACCTTTCGGAAAACCAGGCGTCGATTTGCGTTGCCATGGACTTCCCCGGGTGGTTTGAAGCCGCCACGACCATATTCTTTTTCTCAGGTAGGACGAGACGATCGTGACGATGTTTATTGACTGGTTGGTGATTGAGTGGTTTTTTGATAATTACTCTTATTCAGGATATTTTAGGGTGGTCATTCCCGTTGATTAGTATGTTGCATTTAAAGCACCAACCATAGTCTGTTTTTTTTCCCGGAAATAGTCGGAACATTGAGAGGAAATCCTGAAATTTGGAGCGCAAATCCCGGTTTGCCTGACAAGTTTACTTCAAAATCAAACCAATGAATCGTCATGGATAAGGATGATGATGATGATGATGATGATGAATCTTCCATGACAGGGGTCAGCAGACATGATGGGTAAATGATTCGTAATCAGGGAAAACTCATGGGACATCATGAACGTTCATTGATTTGCCAAGAAAGATTACCCCAAGATACCACGAAACCGTTGATGGTGCCAAATGGATTTGGTTCCATTCCAGAGCGCTATGGCAATGTGCCCTGTATGTATACTGGTCTCCTCCGCAGGAAAGTGTTGATTAACGATGATTAACGGTCCTTCTTTTGGGGAGACTCAATGGTTTACTGTCAGTGCCGGAATTATAGAACGGAAGTTGAGGAGTACGAAGGTACGGTTATTTACCGTACCCTGTTGTTCTATAATTCTGTTTTCCTCGGAAGGTGTGAAAAAAAAAAACGTATCTGAATTTACTCCTAACTTTTTTCGTCGTTCTATAATTCTTGTCGGAGCGCTGCTGTTCTATAATTATGTTTTCCCCCATTTTTCTCACATTTCCCATTTTCGTTCTATAATTAATGTTTCCCGGGCCCCGTTCTATAATTAGTGTTTCCCGGGCCCCGTTCTATAATTCTTGTCGGAGCGCTGCTGTTCTATAATTCTGTTTTCCCCCATTTTTCTCACATTTCCCATTTTCGTTCTATAATTCCTGTCGGAGCGCTGCTGTTCTATAATTCTGTTTTCCCCCATTTTTCTCACATGTCCAATTTTCGTTCTATAATTAATGTTTCCCAGGCCCCGTTCTATAATTAAATTTCCCGACTCCGCGCGGAATCGGAACCCGGAGGAGTACAAAGGTACGGTATTTTACCGTACTTTTGTACTCCTGGCTCCGTTCTATAATTCTGGCACCCGCTGTACACATGTATAACTACGCACCTGAAGCAGCATAGCAATTTCAAAGGAGAGTCCATTTTGGCGGTTTGAACATACCATGTGCATCCAAAATGGTATCCGTTTTATTGTTAACCCATTCTTATTGATCATTTTTACGACCGTTCTCCCTGGTTTCCAACTTGTGTAGTGCTAACCCAGGATGAACGGAGACTGCTGGTTGGTTGATTAGGAAGTAACCTGGTTTCCCAGTCATCATGCGGGTACCCCTTTGCATCATCCAAGTCATTAGAGTCGGGCCCCGCTCAGGGCTTTCAAGTGGCTACGCAGTCTACGAAATTTATCGCCACTGCAAAGAGATGTGGGGAGGGTTTCTCGGCCCTGAGTGGAACGACAAAAAAAACAGAAATGGAGACCCCATGTTGAGAGCATTTGAGGACCCTGCCATGAGTCGTTTTTGGAAGAACAGTTTCCACTAAAAGTTTTTCTCATTTTCAGGATCTATGGAGTCTATGGTCTTTGTTAATTTACTGGAAAATAATTTGTGATCATTGTAATATATTGTAATCATGAATTTTCTATGGTCTATGGCCTCATTTAAAGCTAATCTTCACAAGTGGCGCTGGGTCAGGAAGCAACTGCCTTTGGGCATCTTCATGGGCGCAGTGATCCCTGGCTTTCCGGTGAAAAAACAAAACGTGGCTGGGAGAACCCCATGAAAAATGGAGGATTTTTTGGCTGGACAATATGGGACATCCTCATGAAACATTGGAGGTTTATAGCTGATTTATAGCTGGGAAGATCATCTATATAATTGGTGAGACTTTCCATGGCCATGGTTGATTACCGGAGGGTAGGTGAGGTGTTCCTTTTGGATTTTTAGGGCATTTCGATGGCAAATCCAAGAACGAAAATCTTGAATTCCAAGAACATATCCACTGTAGAGATGTGTTTCAGATTTTTAACTTTGACGTGCTATCTATCCAGGATGTTCTTGATGTTCGTGGATATTCCATTTTTCCCAAGAATTGATTTCTCCGTCAATACCTTTAGATCCTGGGTTCCACCGTTGATGGCACATCCCCAAGGATTGTTATGTTTGTTTCCAGATATGTAGAATCTGAATCATGTGCTATCCGTGTGTATGTGTAGCAAATGGAAATATCCATATTGTTAACGTTCGATATTATCCATGTATTTTCCATTGTTTTTTGATAATTGTATACCTATGATGAGTTACTATTTTCCTGTTTATAGCAGTTTGGGCAAAGTGGATGATCATTGACAGCCCATAAATATCCATAAATCATTTTTTTGAATCATTCATATATACAAAATTATACAAATATACTATATCCTGATTCATAGCAAGTCCCTGAGATGTCTCTTTTTTGTTTTTTACTTCGGAAAGCCCAATGAATTCGATTGTTTTAAAAGCCCATGGCAAAACCTGTTCAGATGTGTCCTTGAAGCTGCATTGATATAGATGTATACTATATTGTTTATCATTGTTTACCCTCTGGTAATTTTTCACGTCGCAATGGAAGCCAATTTGTCCATTTCTGTTCTTTCCCATTCAAAGTGACGCTTCAGATGATTTTCCGTAGCAAGAATGTTCAATTCCCGGAGGGTATTTATCCTTATTCATAGCAAATCCCTTACTGCTCTCACTGTTATCCATAATTATTCATCATTATTTCCCAGTGGTTTTTCCATCATAATTTATATCATGTTTGGTTTAATGAATCCATCTCAAATGGCATTCTACCAGATGACCAACACCAGGATCCTGTTGATGAACCTCTTCTGGATGGTGGGACTCTTCAACCCCGTCACCGATCACAGCTACGGCCGCGTCCTGGCGCACACGCTGCCGTACCTGGGCCTTCAGCACCTCGGCCGGAGAGAAGTGCTGAGGACGGAGAGTGTTAGGATGGGTTTTCCGTGGAAACATCGTGTGAATATATGCATAATATGTAATCATATATATATATATATATGTGAATATAATATACATATAATATATATATATAATGTGAATATAATATATATATAATATGTATATAATCGTCCTGAAGTTAGAGATATGGGACTTTTTGTTTAGATACTCCTGTTTTATATAAGTGCTTGTTTGACATGTCCATATTCTATCTACTCCAGGATGACTATATAAGTCTATCTATTTTCATACACATGTATGTATATATGCATATGGTTTTGAGGGACCTGGTGAGCTTGGGGACAATGGAGGATCCTACGATTGTTGGTTTTTCCAACTACACCATCCAATTGGGACGGTTTGATTTGATGGCAAGATATGGCTCAGAAAATGTACAGTACACGCAAAAATTGATGTAACATGATTAGTTTTTGTTTGTTTTCATTGGTGCCCTATGTTTGAGCGCCAGTTCTCCAAACGATCTGAGATGGCATTGAAGGCTGGCGTACTTTGCACTGATGGTGTTTGTCCTCATCGCTCTCCGTCCAGTTTGTGGCAAGTGCCGCCGAGTTGCTTAGCAAAGCGTTTTGCAGCGTTTTGCAGGGACATGCACTGGCAGGATTTTGATGTTGCAGTTTGGGGATGGTTCAAAACGTATCAAAACCTATTAATTGCCCCTCAGTTTGGATTTATTTGGTAGGATGAACATCCATTATCCATTTACTGTACTTGATTTTACAAACTGATTTGGCATGAAGCCAAGCACCTCTCAAGAATTGAAGGTTGGACCACAACAAACTGGAGTTCCTTCAAAGATACAAGTTTCCACGCATCGCATTGGAGATAGACATCAATCATTTGGGTGTAAGTGGGATAGGTCCCATGGTAGCCAGTACGATCAACACTCGAGAAATGGATTCTGTGCAAGAGCAAAAAACTGGGGATGATTTGGAGTCACGCTGACTCCGACAGCTTTTTGCGCATGTTATTGTTCTGGGGTCTGCAGTCATAGATATGAAATACTACCTGGAATCACTACTGTACCTCAACTGACTGTTATATTTTGGGCTTGAAACCACCAACCAGTTCAAGTCTAGCATCAGAGGACATCTTTGCACCGCAACCATACATTGATCCGCTACGGTTGGTCCACAAAGGAGAAAACCCGAAACTTGTGAGGTGTCCTGGTACGCTGTGACCGTGGTCTATATGTTGGGCCAGCTCTTGGGGTGGTTTATGATCATCTACACCTTTGTGGAATTTGCTCGACATGAAGGGACAGGCCAGACATCACGTGGTGCTACCTTGAGTTTAGCTTTACGAAGTAAAGGGGAGGCTGGCCAGCCCAGGTACCTGATTATTATTCAGGCGCTTGCTGTTCATTTGAGGACCGGTGGGGAACTTTGGGGTCTATTTCGCGCGCGCGCGCGTCGCCACCGCCACCACCACCAGAAACAGCAACAGCAACAGCAGCAACAACAACAACAACAACAACAACCACCACAACCACAACGACAACCACAACCACAACGACAACCACAACGGCAACCACAACGACAACGACAACAACAACCACAAGAACAAGAACAAGAACAACAACAAGAACAACAACAACAACAAACACAACAACAAGAACAACAACAAGAACAACAACGAGAACAACAACGAGAACAACAACAAGAACAACAGCAAGAACAACATCAAGAACAACAACAACAACAACATCAACATCAACATTCACAGCAACAAGAACAACAACAACAACAACAACAAGAAGATCAATAACAACAACAAAAACAATAATAACAAGAGGAACAAAAGAAGCAAACACAACAAGAATAACAAGAAGAACAACAAACAACAGCAACAACAACAACGACAATAACAACAGTAACAGCAACAGCAACTGGGAACAGCAACAACAACAGCAACAGCAACAGCAACAACACCAGCAACAACAACAAAAAAAGACATCGAACTTTATGATCAGAGTGTTGACCGCCAGATCTCAACCGCAAAGAATCTCCGAAGATATATCAGATAGAATGCCAGAAAGAATTGCAGAACATTTTTGAGATAAAATGCGAATGCCAGATAGCACGTCAGGAAATATGTCAAAAAAAAATGTACCTTGGTGGGGATCACTCGAAGAAAGTAATTTGTTCCGGAGGCTTTCAAAAATTGACTTAAGACAGCCAAAATGACGCCTTGTGGGGCCCTGCGCGCATCATTGCCATCAAACGGTAAGGACACCAAGCATTTGATCTTGGATTCTTTTGTTTCATTCTTTTTGCGCTTTGGCTGTGGTGACGCGTTTTGCACCGATACGTTTCTACAAACAGACGACGTTACGCACAGAAGCCCTTGCACAGAGCAGTTTTTCCGCGCAGATATTCTTACACAGAGAGGTTTGTGCACAAGAAAACGTTTGCACACAGACGCCTTTACACACAGAGGTCTTTACGCAAAGAAGGACATATTTGCACACAGATGCTTTGTACAAAGATGTTTTTGCGCGCATAAATAAAGGCACATAGGCGTTTTTACACACAGAACCTTTTCCACAGAGAAGCCTTTGCACAGAACAATTTTTACACATGTTTTTTTCTACACAAAAAGCATTTGACACAGAGAAACTTGTACACACAGACTGCACACAGAGGTTTTTGCAGACCGACTTTTTTGCATGCAGAAACTTCACCCAGAGCAGTTTTTACACAGCAGAAATTTTTTCGCACAGAAACCTTTACGCACAAAAAAAAAACATGCACAGCAGTTTTTGCAGACAGACGGTTTTTAACAGAAAGTTCTCCGCACAGAAGTCTTACGCACAGAAGCTTTTACACACGACATTTTTTACATACAGACGCTTTTACACACAGATGTCTTTACACAGACACAAATTGCACACAGAAACTTGTGCACACAGCACGCGTTTACACACAACCAATTTTTACACAGAGAGGCTTTGCTTCCCCTTCTTGTTCGTGTTCCGCCTCGTTTGCAGTGTGCAGGTGAAAATGGCTACAAGGGCCCCATGAATCGCTACGCGCACGTTTTTGCCTATGCTGAGCCTGGCATCTTGCTCTTCTGCTGGCTTTCCTTGATGCTGCACCCGCTGAAACTGGAGGCGTCCCCCAAGTGCCTTGGGCGATGACAAGGGGTTCATGACAAAAGGGCCCCAAGGGTTAAGGAGATGTCGATTGATGTCAGCAAAAATCGGTATAGCCTGCGGGGGGGTGACCTTTGGCGACGCTGTGCCGATGTTCCACATGACATGACCCCAGAGTTTTTCCAGGGGTGCTGGTATGTGCTGGTGAGGTCAAAAGATGAAAAGGCAGAGGTGGAGGTTTGAAATGGCAGGGCTCTGGGGCCTTGTCTCTGCTCAGTGAGTATGGCCCTGGCTGAGTCAGGTCTGTGTGTCCTGGTGATCAAGTCATGGGTGGAGATATGGGAAGAGGAACCAGGAAACCTATGAAACCTGAAGATCTAGATGAGTGGTTGGTGATAGCTGCTGGTTTCATCATGTTTTTTTTGTTTAACCGCCCGCATTTTCTTCATAGCTTTTGTTTTCCTATTATATCCCCAACTGGCTGAGACTTGCCACGCCACTGCGTTGATGACAAAAGTGTCGTGGCAGTCGCGATGTAGTGGGTATACATGCATGTGTATAAATTACATATATAATACTGTATATTATCTTGTAATATGCTATACAATGTCATACATTATTATATATACAATATATATATTCTACATATACACTATCATACATGTGTGTATAGGTGTGCATATATGCATACAGCAACTGTACAGAACATGTGGCCAGCTCAAGGACACATATACTAGGATAACTGGTTGATTAACAAAGAAACTGGGAACAGATGGCTAATGAACCAAGACATGGATTATCCAAGTTTACATGGTTGACATAAATGGTTAAGTAACGAACAAATGGGGTGGCAAAACCTATAGCATTTGAATACTGTAAGTGGATGAACTCCATCAATCCAGGTTTTTTTTCTACGAATCATGGGCTCTTTGGCATCACTTCCAGGTATCTTTTTGCATCTCTTCTGCGGTCTCCGAATGAGTCAAGGAAGATGATTATCATCTGCCCCAGCTGCGTTTTAAGCGCTGGCTGATACGCAGGCATGAGAGTTGTAGCTCTGCTTTTGGAATGGCTCAAAAACAACAAGCCCAATAGTGGGAGATTCAATTGGTTTAACATGGTTTAACCCTCAACCTGACAAGCCATTGATGTTGCCTTTTGAATATGTTGAGCCATACCTGCATCTGTTGACGACTCATAACAAATGAGTTTGAATGTGATCAGCAGATGGTAAAAAGTCGTGTCAGAGGAGCAGGGTATTGAAGCCTCACAGAAGCACCGATTGATACAGTGATGGATTGAAATCAAACACCTGGAACAACAGGTACTGTATATGAATATGTTGAATCTGTCAACATCAGTCAACATCAGTCAACATTATCCATGGATGTTGAAACCATTGCAACAGGGCTTTGACAACAGTGACATGAATAATTCTAGATTCAGCCGTTTGGATAAGTTTGTAAATCATACCCTCTGGTAAACTAACATAGCTATGGGAAATCACCATTTTTAATGGGAAAATCCACTATAAATGGCCATTTCCAATAGCTATGTTAAATTACCAGAGGGTAACATCCCCAAATCGTTTCGATCACCCCCACGGATTGTTCAGTTCGCCAAGGAACGGGCAGCTGCGCTGGCGGATGTGGTTGCTTTTTGGGCTCAATGTGTTGGAAGCGTTGCAGAAAACAACCATTTGGGTTTGTCTGAAAATAGGATATATTCCCAATGAAATAGCCATTTAATAGGGATAATGATCATTAACCATTGGGTTTAGGGGTACACTATTTTCAGACACACTATTTCCATCATGAAAACACCGAAACACTGGGACCCGACTTTGTTGGAGACGGACGGCCCCAGATTTGGATCATTTGGAACCGAAAGGTTGCTGTGATTGTTGTTGGTGACCCCGTTGATCCCAAGTATAGCGACTTATAAACTATTGCTGTCAGACTGTAAAAGCTGATATTTTACAGATGGACCAACACCACCTTTGTCCCTGTACAACCTTGTCTTTTGGTACAGTACCTTGGTCACGGTGATTTACCTATGAAAAGTGGTGATTTTCCATAGGCAAATGTTAGTTTACCAAGTTTGGATTTGAGATTTTGCTGATCTTCAATCTCAACTGGAGAAAGATGTGGCAGGGCAGGGGTTGAATCACCAGCTGGTCATGGTGCTGGAAATCCTCCATTGAGATCCATGGCTGAGTTCAATGAGGGGTGACGACCAGAGGGTAGACGATGACTACCTCGGGATGACGACAAAGGACAAAGTGGAGAAGTTTCAGCTCGACGATGACTTTGACTATGACAACTGTTCGGGACCCAAAGAGCCCTCGTTGACATCCTCAGACTAATTCTGTGTGCCATCGTTCAAATACCCCTGTTGATTGGTTCATAAAAAAACGGTGTTTCACTAGCTGCTGAGGCTTGGGGATTGTCATTGTCCGTAATTACCAGGGATACCTAGTAAACAAGCATGGTTAACCATGGGATGGGTAGGGCTATTTTTGAAGGCGTCAGACTCCACTAGAACTGGAAGTTCACCGAAACAAATTCCCAAATGGAATAGACATGAATAGATCTTTGCACCGCCCAATTTTACCCCGAAAAACACCCTGAAAAATGCACCTGGTAAAAATATGAAGAAATTGCTGCGACGATTGATGATTCTCCTGCGTTTTTCCAGGCCCGTTGTCACCGCCAGAGTGGCCATATGACCAAAGACCTCGACCAGAACCGAAAATGTGGTCGAGACGACGACCTGGAGACCTCTGGTAGACCCAAGAAATTCAAGCACTTTGGGTTTTTATGGATGATTGCTAATGAATGTTAATGATGGTTTATAAATGATGGTATATTCATTACCGGTTGGTCACGTTTTTCTGCCATGCTCTTGTTGGGGAAATTGCCACAGCACTGGCCCAATGGGATCATGATCCCTGACGGCCGGCAGCTGGCACGTTGTTTTCAGCGGCGAAGACGGTGATCGCTTCTTTTGCTGATGTAGATGTGTGCATTCCATGTTCTATCTCACATGATTCTTTCATTTACACATCATTATACATCTATACCAATTTATATCAATTTATATATATCAATCTATATCATTCTATATCATATATTTATGGTTTACATGGTTTCTTTTGCTGTTCTACCTGTTCAAGCTGACATTTTTTGGCATTTTTTGGCCGTCTCTTTGGGCTCCGGCATCGCTATGGCTGCGCCAAGTCGGTAAAAATTATCTGACATGGCCAGGCGGACAGTCACCGCGCCCGTGTCACGATGTATGGCCGGGGATGAGCCAAGTAAGATTTTTTTTATTGTGAACCAGAAGCCATGTGGTGTCACGATGCTTTACGATATGTTAAGGATATTTTAAGGATATTGGAAAATAGTACTTTAATTTGTGCTTTGCCTTCACAAAAGTGATGTTATTGATGTTACTAGTATGGAGCATGGAAAGCATCGAAAACACTGAAGACTCTCTCTGTCCAGAAGGTTCCTGAGCTATATTGAAATTGCTGTTGTTCTTGTTTCACGACGCATTCCAGAACATGCATTATATGATCTTATATTGCATGATTACAAATTCGTCCTTCTATATCAGAATGGCCTTCAAGTGTATGGTTATAGTGTTCCGTATATTGATGAACTGTTGTTTTCCTATCATCTGGAGACCTCTACGACTATATGGTTACATCATAGTTACATCCTGGTTGGTGGTTTGGAACCCAACTGACTAATACTGTTCAGAGGGGTAGGTCAACCACCAACCAGTATCCCATCATTTTTGATCCCAATCTTGACCAGGCCTGAAGGTGATCGAAGGAAGGCTGTCGTCATTCCCAACGCCCCTTGGGATCCAGTATGATCCAGTGGATCCGGTGGCTGATCATCAGCAGGTTCTTAGCGTGGCGTTTCAAGTGGAGGCTACGTACGTGGACTGAAATTTCTTACAGGTCAGACCACAGAAATCCCCAGAGTTTTACGGAGTTTGAAGCCCAGAAATGGTGAAAAAGTGTTCTGATTCCTTTCGAAATTATTACCCTCTGGTAATGACTAACATAGCTATTGAAAATGACCATTTATAGTGGATTTTCCCATTAAAAATGGTGATTTTCCATAGTTATGTTAGTTTACCAGAGGGTATTTATAGGGGAGACCAAAGTTTCCATTGAGCACTGAAAAACCTCTGGCGAGGGGAGTTACTCTCGGATCGTATCAATTTTCACGCTTAACATCACAGAAGTACGAATTTATTGAACAGAGATCCAGGAAACACCATATAGGTATATATATGATATATATGATATATATATAGATATATGGTATATGTATTATATATATATATGGATATATGGTATAAGGTTTCGGCTGAAGCGTGTTCCCGTAGCTCGGCCGTTCACCCTAGTGGCTGGCTGAGCAATAGCCGCGGGCGTTGTCTTCTTGTGGCAAGAGCAGCGCCTTTTTTTTTTGTGCTCTGTGAGTACCGTGCAGACTCACACCACCTTTGCTTCTGATCATCGTCTACCTCGTTTCTCTTCTTCGAGGACTTGTTGGACTTTGACCTTTTTGTCTTGGCCACTACGTAATTGGCTGCCGTTCGCTCGGCCCACTTACAGCTTATTTATTTCGCATTGGCTTGCAACCACTGATTGATTTTTCTCAGTGTACGGCTCCCACTGCGGACTTAAGTGTATTGGTCTCTGACAATTTATCAGTGCATGGGTTATTTCTTCAAGGTCCTCTTTGCGCTCGTGGTCCTTCATCATTACACCTACTCAGCGCAGACGAGCGAGGAAACAGAGGGCAACTGCCCGCCTACTGTGGTTTCTTCACAGGAAAGGCGCACGCAGACAAACCCCTTCTGGTTTGATTCGCATTCGCTCAGTTCTGAGCAAACACCATTCGAGAGATCCAGCATTTTTGGACAAGATCCTTACAGCCGTCCCAGTTGCGATGACGAAGAAGCATCCATCTTGGCGGTGCAGCCATTGTCATGTGGTGATGAAGGGAACTTTTCCCAGGTGCTGGAAATGTGGCTCCGAATGGAGTCAATGCAACGATGCCTCCTTCATTCCCCCGGAGTACAAGCAGGCCTACGATCAACAGGCCGGGCATCAAACCCCATGGAATGGAGCCTCATGGCAATCCCAGGGCAGTGGCTCGAGAAGTCCGCGCACCAGGAGCAGAAGGCATCCCAATCGAGGATCTCGACAAGGAGGAGGTCACCATCAGCAGGACAAAGGGTATGGCAAGGGACAGAATCAAGTACCGATGCCTCAAATGGTACCTATGATGATGCAGTATCCACCACCAATGATGCCGACTCCCCTACAGCCGCCGGTGTTACCGACGCAGGGGCAGTCTCACATGATGGACAAGGGTGCAGGCAAGGGAATGCCTCTCCAACCGGTGATGGTCCCACCACCACCTCCTATGCCAGCCTCGGGGGGGATGCCACAAGCAGCTGGAGCACAAACGTCATGGAACCCCAATATGACCATGATGCAGTTCCCTACAGCTCCTGCTGCTCCAGCAGTTCCAGTCCCTCAAGAGGATGTGATCAAGGAGGGGAAGGCACAGAAAAACTTGAATCGCCTACTGAAGGAAATGAAGAAAGAAGAGGATACTCTTTCTCCCAATCTTCAGTCTATGGCGCACGAGCTGAAGAAGCAAGACGAAAAGAGCAACATGCAAGGACTACATTCAGCGGTTCGAGACCTAGGCAATGCCAAAAACGACCTGCTGGAGGCCGAAAACGCACGAGTCCAGTTGCTCTCGCAGTGGAAGCACTTCTTGCAACAATCTGTTGTCAAATGGAAGGAATTCACCATGAACTTTCAAGCTTCAGATTCAGCGCATCAAGCCAGTGTTCAAGCAGCTCGCCTTGCAGTTCGCAAAGCTCAACGTGCTTTCAATCTTGCTTCGAAAAGGGAGCACATTGGCAAGAACGAACCGTGGCCAGTTTCGGACGACGAAGACGAGGCTGCCGACGAGATGAATGTGGATCCCAAGGAGGAAAGTGCACAAAAAACACACGATGGTATGAGCTCTATCGTCACGAGCTTAGAGGAGCTCTCGTCCT